GAGTCGCCACTCCTCTAATACTCCTCCTGTAGTCTATTTCGAGACTAGAAAAGCGAGAAAACTGAAATTTTACGGGGATGTTCCCTGCTCAAGTAAAACTTAAAGATTTCAAATTCAGCCTCCAAGTATGGGTGACTCTCTCGTCACTTAAAAGTTTTGGCGGGGAAATTGCTCACTGAACAGCTTGGTTATTTTGGTATATTTGGCATTCCACATCCGGCATTTTATTAGTCCCATTACTATACACACTTCACAGAAAATCTACGTGCCGTAGTTTTGCTATATACAACCGCTAACAAAAACAAAAGCCCCAATGCCTCAGCTAAGAGATACACAGGCATGCGCAGTGCAAGAAAAACAGCTGTGAAACTGCAGATCTCGGTGCTTAGTGAATTTGAACTGCATAATTGTAGAAGCCTAAAAGTTACTAACTGCCCCAGCCGGTACCACTACGTATCATATTATCAATTAACAAACAACATTAATGTCGCAACAATCGCGATGAGGAAACGAAAGGATTGTGATACATGGGTTTTGTTTTTCGGTGTTGCGATGGAAGAGGAAAGGAATGTGATTTTTCCTTTCAAAAGCTCCAGACCGAATGTGATCTTGTGATAATGAGTTTTTTGTGCTGTGAAAGTGTGTTTGTGTATTTGCATATCAGACGATGGATCTCCTCCATCAGCAGAATTTAGTTTTTGTAAAGCTTCGCTAATGGACTGCCGTTAGCGATGCTATATAAGTTCGCGCTTCTTAAACATCAGGCCTTTTGCTTTCTTTCGGGGCTTGCTGGCTTTGATGCCTGGAGTCTGCTACGACCAGAGTTGCTGGGATTCGACCACCACCACGCGAATTTGCGTGCAGCAGTTGCTTAACTACGCATTTCTCCACGCCAATCAGTTTCAATTGTTAAATCAGGTAAGTTAACAGACGCAACAATTATCAAGTTGTCCGAACCCAAAAAAAAAACATAGTGAAAAAATGCAAAGAATATCATATCTACTGTTGTATATTGAGAGATAAGTACTAACCGCCTATACGGT